ATTATGACTACTTCTTCTGAACGATATGTAAGACAATAATATGTGGACAATATTTAATAATCCTGAAAATTTAACAACAAATAAACATAGTTTGGTGAACAAAATCAATGGTGTGATCCCTTTTTTCTTACATTATGCTTATGAAACGATCTTTCCAATTGTTTGAAATGTTGGAAATTTTTTAAAATTCTATATTTCAATTGATTCGATTTGTAATGATATCAAATTCTTAGTTTGAGGTATAGTTTGTGGTAGACCCAAGGGACGGTAATTTTTTTTTATTACAAAAGTTGTATTTGAAAACTGTTATGAATTAGATAATAAATGTTTGTTACGTAGTTCTTCGTTGAAGTTTCTGTCCTTTAATAATAGTTGGCCGGCCTTTTATGTAACCTTTCTTGTGGCGTGGTGTCTGAAACATTTTAATATCCAACCCCACACAACTTCAACTACGTTTCAAGATCACGCAATGTTTTATTGTGAAAAACGTAAACCGATACGATTGAAATTCCAAAACACAAAACTTTATATTATTTTACTTTGTTATAGAAACTAAGAAACTCACCTTTCTGTTGATGTATGAATTGGTGTTACGTGCAACAACTCGCTTAGATATTGGAATACTAGGTCTATTAAACTCATTTGGTTTTTTCACCCTGAAAATTATTTTAAAATAAATACGTACATAATTGATAATATATAAATCTTACATTCGTCGTCAAACTATTACCTGTAAATCCTAACAAGCCAGTGTTCCGTGGTATAAGCTTCTTCCAAATACGTTAACTGGAAATTTTTATTTCCTATTTCTGCATTACGTGTACGATCATATCCAGAAGGTGACCGATAATCTATCTTGACTTCTCCAAATCGGTAATAACTTAACTTGTACATTAATGAATTCAGAAGAGTAGGTGAGGCTTCAGAATCTACCCGAAACTCTCCTCTTTCACTGAAATAATCACTTTCCCGAATATCTTGCGGATGTTCACCTTCAGCAATTCGTACCATCCAAAGGAATTTATTAACATCATCTCCAGAATATCCAATCATTCCTCCAAAAATAACTAACACATAATCTACATCTAGAGAGGTCATAATTTCATAGGCAGCGCTTTCATTTGAGCTCATTGCTTTTCCAACCAGAGCTATATGAGAATTATTCCAAGTATTATTGTCCACAAGTGTAGTTCTAAAGTAACATAAAAAGAAATGTTACTGAAACATCTTATCCTGAAAAGGTACATAATAATAATGATTTTCTGTTTGTTTTTTTAAATACCTATTAGCCATTCCAGCAATCTGATAACCATAATCCCACCAACTCATAACTCTGGCATCAATAGGTGTATTTTGTGCTAACCAGTAGTAAGCTTCTCTGAAATCATCTAGTATTGCTCTTCCACCATCGTTACTATATGATGCCAACACAATCGAAGGACTCGAATATGCATTATTTGTAATCCAAGTGCAATGTAAAGTGAACATCATCATCAATATAAATGTACCAAAGACTACTCCATTTCGAAGATTAATACCTAATCCATCACCATTTCCTCTAGGTCGCTCATGTTTCATTCTACGAAGTTTACCAGCCTTATCATACAATGCTCTGCCAGGGCTTCTTTCTCTTTCTTCTTCACTTTCTTCTTCACTTGCATTGCTGCTTCGATCATTTCTTTCACTATCTTCCTCTTTAAAGAATAACTCAAGAAGATCACTGAATGCAACACCAGCCAGCATACATACAATGGGTGTCAAAGTGAGCATAAGCCTCACCATCACTCCAGCAAAATAAACAGCACTTACAGCATATAAAATGACTGCAAAAGAACAGTATCAAAATCAATGCATCTGTAATAAGTGTATTGTATCATAAATAAAAACTTACCAAAAACACGTTCATCATTAATATGCTTAATACAGTACCAAAGGCCAACAGGAAATGTGGTAACAAGAATATGCAAGTCAAAGAGAAAGCTAAACCATGTTGTAGGTTGATGTTCAGATACAGATGCTATTATTGGAATGTGTATTTTTGCATAGCCAGTATCCCACAGTGAATAAAATCTTCCACTCCAGGGTGCAACAATACCAGCATAAGTCAAACAGATCAAAATCACAAGAAGAATGCCAGCAGTTACTGCAACTATTCCTCCAAAATATTTCATTTCAGATTTAGTAAGTACAGTTTTCAAATACCTATAATTGAAAGGAAACTGTTGACATAGTAAACATTTTTCATGTTGCAGTTATAGATAAATCAATGTACCTGAGGGTTGCTACAAATATTAATAAACCAAATACACCCCCTGCAGCCATATGCTCCGATGTTCTTATTGGTTGGAAACCAACAAATGGTACTTGCATACTTAACAGAAGTCCCAATATATAAAATGTAGTGTAACTAGTAAATAGACGATTACTAAATCGGTTCATAACCAGTAGTACAAAAACATGGAATGGAATTAAATTAATGATGAAAACATAACCGCCCCATGCAGATACCATATAAAAGTAGGACAGAGCAGTCATTGAAGCCCAGAAAATGGAACCAGTTTTAACTGATTTAACCCATAGATAATATGTAATTTGCAAAGCAAATATAGATATGCCTTCATTGTCATAGCTTCCAGCTACAGATCTTGAAATGTAACCAGGTACAATTGCAATGAAGCATGCTGCAAATAAACCAGCTCCAGCACTCCATATCTCTTTTGTTAATAAGTACGTAGAAATGGCTGTAAGGCCACTAAAAATTGGAGCTAAGAATACACAAATGTCTCTTATATGCACTGGAATATTTAATGAATGTAATATGTAATGTATCGACCCAGAAGTGATCATTAATCCAGGGTAAACGGTTCCACCCACAATACGTCCCAATGGGTACCATGCTCTTTCATCGAACCAGTTCAAGAAATTATAAAATCCATGTTGTACCATATACGCTGTTGCTCTGTAGTTAAACCTAAATTAACAAAAACGTTTTGCAATTATAAAGATTAATAATTATACTACATCATATAATGACTTAAATAAAACTGTTCTATTAAAATAGCAATAATATTATATCTTTATAGTGAAAAAGACGTAGAATATTAAGTAAAATTATCGTTACACATATAACTCTTAACGTAATGATATACGTACCAAGGATCGAATTCGTGTATGATACTTTCGAAACGTATTACTGCAAAAAGCCGAGAGGCAAATCCTGAAATCCATGCAAGTAGCAAAACAGTAAAAGTAATGAGGGAACTAAGTCCTGCAGCGTTCGTTAACGTAGAAGTTTTCATTTGCTTCGATGTAGTTTTCTTATCGGGGAACATATCTTTTCTGGTATTTGTCGTGGATGATCTATTTGGCAACATATTTTTTTGAAATTTATGAACGTAATGAGAAATATTTCCGTTAGCTTTTACCAAACATTTCCCAGGAACATATTTACATTTGTTTCCATCCGGCACGTTGCAAATCAAGCAGCCAGCAACAAATTACCGAATTACTAAGCCTAGGCTAGGAGGCTAAGACACGTCAAACGCCGGCTACGTGTTAACTATGACTTCCACACCGATCAGTCGTTCCCACTTGCATAAGAAATTGGACAGAGAAACGGTACGTTCAAATATGTGCTTAAGCAGCACACTACGTTCGATACGAAGTGTACCAAGGCACTGATTGGTCTCGTTAACAAAATATGAAACCAGAAATAGTTTGCCTACCAATAAGATTAATTTCGTGACAATTTAATTTCGAGTTATATACACTGTATGTACACATTGGTATCGAGTATGATTTAGTTGATTCAGATTATTCTAGATAGAGACATTTATGTAGTCTAACATAAAAGCAGTGTGAGTTACCATGCAAACGTAATTTCCGGATACAATTTGATTTTTTATTAGTTAAACAACTATCCCTTCCACTGTAAGACTTACAGTACGCTCGAAAATTAATGTTTCCAGTTTATTATATTTGTAATTGCAAATTAAAAAGAAATTAAAGTTTTAAATATAAATTTGTTATTGTTACTGGGAAAAATACAATTGTACATACGTAAATATGTCTTATTTGAATTTACATAATTTTTTCACATGTTTAAATTAACGCAATTAATAAACAAGAATATTAAAAACAATATATATATATATATATATATGTATCAAAAAGGATATTTTTAATTAATTATATATATATACAGGGTGTCCCAAAAATGCTCGCAATCCGAAAGTGGCGGTTTCCTCGGGTTATTGGAAGCAACTTTTTCCTTTACAAAAATTTTCTCCGAGGCACCGTTAACGAGTTATTAACGAAAAACAGTGACCAACGAGAGGCGAGCTCAGGTGGCGCGAGGCGACCGAGCCAATGAGCGGAACTGGGCTTCGTGCGCTGGTTGGCTGGGCCGCCTCGCGTCAGCCGTACTCGATTCTTATTGGTCACTGTTTTTCGTTAATAACTCGTTAACGGTGCCTCGGAGAACATTTTTGTAAAGGAAGAAGCTGCTTCAAATGATCCGAAGAACCCGCCATTTCCGGATTGCGAGACATTTTTGGGACACCCTGTATATATATGTATTAAAAAGGATATTTTTAATTAATTTATTATATATATGTACATTCATGCACATTGTAATGTGTAATTATATAAATAATATAATATAAACCCTTGTGTATAATGAATAGAATCCATGTAAAATGTTTACTACAATTTTATTTGCATTATTTGCACGAGGAAAGAAGAATTCGTTTTTTTATTTAATCAGAAAGAGCGGTGGGCGGGTGGAACTCTGATACAATAGAAATTTTCACCAAGGACAAGGGTGCAGTAAGACAATACGTATGTAAAGCAGTGGTACCTACTCCTGCACACCTCCGGACCGCAGCTTGATCCGTACCGAGGGTCCGTATAGAAATTTTCTTTATTCTGATTGGTTAATGATTCACTACAAAGCAGGATCGACTGCGAATTGGATGCGCAGTAAAATGGCGAGGATTTGCGCGTCAGCTTAGAGGATAAGAAAAACGTACATAGGTCCCATTACAATACATACATACATTGTATGTAACAGACAGAGATTTGATTCTGTGAATTTTTCGACTTGTAAGATTACGCTCGACGGAGAATACATATCGTTAATCTTCTACGATCCTCGCGATTTCGGAGTCGTGTTCTTGTGATTCGTCTTCTGATGAATGCGATTCACCTTTCACAAACCTGGCAAACCAAAAATTCCTTTGCAAACTATTGTGACAAAAAAATGATAAAAAAACGATTAGGAGGCAACAAAAAAAAAACGATATTTCACGGAAATAATTGCTGTATGTATTAATAATAAATTCATTTTCTTGTTCGTAATTGAACCGAAATGATAGGAAATCATAGGGCTTGATAATAAACATCACTAAGCTAACTTAGTAAAATATACCAGATCAGCCATTTTCTGTACATACTGTTTAATGATCAGATACATATTTTATCATAACATCATCACGTATAACGCTTTGCCCTTTGGTAATAGCTTGCTAACAAGATAAACTGGTATTTACATAGGTACATATGTATTATGTTTACAACCGACGTATGGTGATTCCAAGAACAACACCAAAGTCGCTGCATACATACGCTCCAGAACGTTATATGCAACGTCTAATTCTCAGCATCATTAACCTATCGATACTTGAATCCTCGGTTGATATAGATTCCGTATAGAAATAACTACAAATAAATAACAGTGCAATTACACTTAAAAGTTGCACTCTTTTCGAACACATTTTATTAATTCTATATCTACCGCCGATCTGCAATATCGTGATTCATGTTTACTACTAAANCGAGGCACCGTTAACGAGTTATTAACGAAAAACAGTGACCAACGAGAGGCGAGCTCAGGTGGCGCGAGGCGACCGAGCCAATGAGCGGAACTGGGCTTCGTGCGCTGGTTGGCTGGGCCGCCTCGCGTCAGCCGTACTCGATTCTTATTGGTCACTGTTTTTCGTTAATAACTCGTTAACGGTGCCTCGGAGAACATTTTTGTAAAGGAAGAAGCTGCTTCAAATGATCCGAAGAACCCGCCATTTCCGGATTGCGAGACATTTTTGGGACACCCTGTATATATATGTATTAAAAAGGATATTTTTAATTAATTTATTATATATATGTACATTCATGCACATTGTAATGTGTAATTATATAAATAATATAATATAAACCCTTGTGTATAATGAATAGAATCCATGTAAAATGTTTACTACAATTTTATTTGCATTATTTGCACGAGGAAAGAAGAATTCGTTTTTTTATTTAATCAGAAAGAGCGGTGGGCGGGTGGAACTCTGATACAATAGAAATTTTCACCAAGGACAAGGGTGCAGTAAGACAATACGTATGTAAAGCAGTGGTACCTACTCCTGCACACCTCCGGACCGCAGCTTGATCCGTACCGAGGGTCCGTATAGAAATTTTCTTTATTCTGATTGGTTAATGATTCACTACAAAGCAGGATCGACTGCGAATTGGATGCGCAGTAAAATGGCGAGGATTTGCGCGTCAGCTTAGAGGATAAGAAAAACGTACATAGGTCCCATTACAATACATACATACATTGTATGTAACAGACAGAGATTTGATTCTGTGAATTTTTCGACTTGTAAGATTACGCTCGACGGAGAATACATATCGTTAATCTTCTACGATCCTCGCGATTTCGGAGTCGTGTTCTTGTGATTCGTCTTCTGATGAATGCGATTCACCTTTCACAAACCTGGCAAACCAAAAATTCCTTTGCAAACTATTGTGACAAAAAAATGATAAAAAAACGATTAGGAGGCAACAAAAAAAAAACGATATTTCACGGAAATAATTGCTGTATGTATTAATAATAAATTCATTTTCTTGTTCGTAATTGAACCGAAATGATAGGAAATCATAGGGCTTGATAATAAACATCACTAAGCTAACTTAGTAAAATATACCAGATCAGCCATTTTCTGTACATACTGTTTAATGATCAGATACATATTTTATCATAACATCATCACGTATAACGCTTTGCCCTTTGGTAATAGCTTGCTAACAAGATAAACTGGTATTTACATAGGTACATATGTATTATGTTTACAACCGACGTATGGTGATTCCAAGAACAACACCAAAGTCGCTGCATACATACGCTCCAGAACGTTATATGCAACGTCTAATTCTCAGCATCATTAACCTATCGATACTTGAATCCTCGGTTGATATAGATTCCGTATAGAAATAACTACAAATAAATAACAGTGCAATTACACTTAAAAGTTGCACTCTTTTCGAACACATTTTATTAATTCTATATCTACCGCCGATCTGCAATATCGTGATTCATGTTTACTACTAAAGAACGACTTATAAAACGTACCGGAAAAAATGCCATCGGCCGATATGAATTTTTGAAACTGTTAGCTACGGAATTTAAAACCACTAAATCTAAAGGTAAAGTGTGTATAAAACAAGATTATGTGCCTATTACGATTATTATTTAAGATTTTATAACCAATATAATTAATATTATTTATTTAACAGAAGCGAAGGAACAGGTATTGGCAAATCTTGCTAATTTTGCTTATGATCCCATTAACTATGGATATATGAGACAACTTCAAATAATTGATTTATTTCTTTATGCATTATCAGAAGACAATATAAAGTTAGTACGTTTTGCAGCAGGAGGTATTTGTAATTTATGTGTTGGTAAATATTTATATATTTACGCCAAACCAAATACTACTGTGACAAATGATTAATGATAAATTATTTTTTAGATCCGATAAATAAGTTGTATATTTTGCGCAATCAAGGCATTCAATTATTATCATCTCTTATGTCTTCACAAGATGAAGATATCTTACTTTCAATAATAGCTTCTTTAATATCTTTAAGAATTCCTGAAGCAAAAGAACAAATAACCAGCAATATAATTGATAAAGCATCTGAACTTCTTTCAAATCATGAAAGTAATCGTGTAAAAAACTTGGCGATGGTGTTTCTGAACAACTATTCAGAAACAACAGTTGAAACTGCAGATACATGAAATATATTTTTCATTAATTGATAAAAAGAACATTATGTAATACAAATTAAAATAATTATAAAATGAAGTTAACAAAGACGGTTCTAGAATTTTTAAAAAAATATTGTACAGGGACTAATGATGTAGTCAAATCATCAAAAAATTTAAAAGATATGAAAACTATGAATGAAATATCAGTTTTTAAAACTATTACAAATGATGATATACTTAATTTCTCAAAATTAACTAGTGATTACAATACAGTACATACTGGTTCTGCAAATAATCTTGTACATGGCGCTCTTCTTAATGGTTACCTATCAGCAGTAATTGGTACAAAATTACCAGGTCCAGGAACATTAGTACTAGAACAAAGTAACAGATACCCAAAACCATGTTATGCTGGAGATGAAATAGAATTTAAAGTGCGAATTGTTTCTATGAGGAAGATTATTACATGCGAATATATTTGTATTGCAAATAGAGAAAAAGTAGTTTTAATAGGAGATGCAAAACTTATGAAAAAATCATGAAATATTAATGCTCTATTTTACAATCATGGTCTTTATTAAAAGAAAATGTTGTTTGTTATATTTGTTCATGTTTCAAGATTTTGTATGTTTATAAATAAAAAGCAAATCATCTTATAAAAAGAATGGTTGCAATACACATTCAAAATATTGCTTATTAGGCACATAAAGTTTGACCCATATTAATTGCTGACACAATGGAATATGTATCTTTAATATCAGCTGTAGTGAGTAGTTAACTTCCATTTAGTATATGCAAGAGCTTTGTTGCACTGAATCGACATAGTTAAGTGAAATTTCACAATTTAAAAATAAAGTAAAGTGTAAAATTTCAAACAATTTTTTTTTTAATATAAAAGATGATTTGCACACATTTATTATTAGCTGTTTGCCTTGGATCTGTTTTTGCAAATAATCAAAGAAAATCAAAAGTTTTAAATAACACTTTTCAAGTAACAACTATTGAACCTCCTCTTGGTTGTGTTTGTGGAATTTTCCTAAGTGGTCAATTTAAGAAAAGTTGTAAAGATGAACCTAACGGTAATCCTGCTCTGACCCATGATCAGCCTGAAATATTTCCATGTACTCCAGGAGGAAATAGGCATTGCATAAGTAAATGTTTAGACACTGTAAGTAAGTTTTATGAAACATGTATTTATTTTTTACGTTGATGTGAAAATTACTAAATCTCATTATAGATTGTAAAGTACCTTCCAAACAGTCCTACAATATTGTGTAGTTCATTAGACCGTAACTGTCATAAAGAGAAAGTAAGTGTTCTTATATTATTCTATATAGATAAGTTATTTTCATAACAAAAAAACAATTAATAGAAATATACTTTTATAATAGGCTTATTTATTTATTAAAAACTGTAAACACAAGTGGATTAATACAAATTTGTCTGCTGGAAGAGAGTATTGCTGTAAAAATGGAGTACCATACAAATGTCCAATATACTAAAATATTTATAACACATTTTGTAACATCTTTATCTTTATATATTAATGAACATAAAACTACATTTATTTAATAAATATATTTTTGCTTGCCCTCAAATTTTCCTATTGAATGTCCCGCTCCTTGTCTAAATATAGCTCCAAGATCGTCACCTACACTCCACATAGAATCAAAGGAATCCCGGATAAATATCTGAAATCGTCATTCTATAATTAGACTTTCAGATGTGAAACTGTCTTATACTTTGTGCATCACAAAACAGAAATATTCTTCTTTATTAAACATTACTGTTCAATAATTGACATGTTACATATAAATTTCTTCTTTCATTTTAATCGGTGCTAATGGGTCAAGTTCAGGCATAACCCTAATAAGAATATAGATGACAATGTTAAATTTAAATTGATCAGTCTAATCTCATATGTCTTATAAACTTCAATCAACAGTTACTATCAAGTCTTTAAAATCATTTTACTTTTATCAATATAAAATGGAAAAGAACTATTACTTTCTGTAATTATCACTAAATAATTTTATTGAAATTGCAACACTTAGCAAGAATAAAGCATAATGAAGTTTCATTTTGAAAAATAGTGATTGTTTTGTGTTGAAAATATTGTAACTAAGGAATTACCAAAAATATGTGTGCACGATTATTAGCATGTCCTTTATGTTCTCAACCTGGATTTTTAACACTGGATGCACTTCGAACAGGATTAATAAGTGTAGCAACTCGACCACTTTCATGCCCAGTATGTAATGAAATATTGCTTGGTATTGATAAATTGACCATTCATTTGTTTAGTCACACGATCAATTTGCATAATAATGATACAATGGCACCTTCAAAACATACAAATACTTTTACAAACAGTAATAGTTCAGGAACAGAACATAACTTGCAAAGTATAAGTTTTCATGATTGGAATGTATCTAAGGTACAAATTGCAGATTTTAAATCTTCTGAAAATGTACAAACTACAGGAAATGAAATTCCAAGTTTGAGTTCAAGAGTTTGTATACAAGAACAAAATTTGCCTATAAATAATGTATCTCAAGTTGCATTTTTACAAAATTCAATTTGCAAAAGTGAAGGAGTAAATGCAGTTCATAGGACACATGAGAATCATAAAATTATGCCAAAAGTAAACAAAAATTCTCAAGAAATAATGCAAGAAACAATGAGTGTGAATTATACCACACAAAATTATGTTACAAATAACATTAAACATGCAAATACTGCACAAGACCATGTCCAAAGTAAACATGAAAATATACAAAATTTTAAGCAATGGACTGGAAATCAACATTGTGAGCAACAAACTTCTATAAATGAAAACATAAGCACGCTAGAAAGATCTACAGCAGAAATTAGAGAAGTTTGTAGCAGTAAACAAAACTACAATGAACAAGTAACATCAGTGAATAAATATCCAGTAACAAGTGTTACAACAATCTGTACCAATACTGTGGTGGAAAAATATAATGATAAAAAAAATGAACAAGACAATTCGTTAATTATATCTAACGAAAATCAAACTAAAATTTTAAAAAATGGAGAAATATTGTCTGAACTGAAACAAGTTAAACCGTCGCCTACAAAGGAAAAGACTGAACGTTGTAATATATGTGGCTTCCATTTTCCTGACTACAATATTTTACTTTTACACAAACAATTAGTGCATATGATCAATGAAAAAGATTTGAATGTCATTCCTGAAAATTTTTTTAAAAGTTATTCATGCCATTTGTGTTCTAAAATATTTAAAATGCGCGGTAGTTTAATGGTTCATATGAGAGTAGCACATATGGGATATAATATAGGTATTTTATTAATATTACATATATATATCATTTGATATATATTAATAAAAAATGTTTTTAGGTTCTTTAGCTAAAGGTGGCCAGGTAGAACTTATATTTAATGAGAATAAATATAATTGTCCAACATGTGGAAAAATATTCAAAAAGGTAAGTCTTGATTTTATTTTAAGCAATTTTTGAAAGTAAAAATGTACTTATTGTTCTAGGAACAACATGTAATTCAGCATTTAAAAACTCATGAAGCAAAACAATGGGAATGTGATGTATGTAGCAAAATGTTCACAACAAAATATTTTTTAAAAAAACACAAACGATTACATTCAGGAGAAATGCCTTATAAATGTAATATATGTAATAAGACATTCACTTTTCAACAATCATATCACAAACATAGATTATATCATAAAGATGATAAACCACATACATGTGCAACTTGTGGCAGGTCATTTAAAGAGCTATCTACTTTGCATAATCATGAAAGAATTCACACTGGAGAAAAACCTTTTGCATGTGAAACATGTGGTATGTGACATTTTTAAAAAGATTTTCTTTGATAAATGCTATGAGAGTCTTGGAATAAAGCATGTTTTGTTTTCAGTTATTACTAACGATTTAATATGGAGTGTTCTGTTTCTACAATGTATACATAACAAAGTTTTGTGACCATTACTGCTACTATAAGTGCAACTTATACATGAAAGTCGAAATTAATAATAAATATCACAAGACAATCAAAAAATGTTATTGCTGTGTAATACTTATTTTAAGAAGGCTATTTACAATTATGTGTAATATTTAATGTTACAAATTCATTATTTCTTTTAGGAAAGTGTTTCAGACAACGTGTTTCATATTTAGTTCATCGTAGAATTCATACAGGTGTTATGCCTTATAAGTGTACAATATGTGGAAAAAGTTTCAGATATAAGGTGTGTTATAATTGTAAGAATTCAAGATTTTATAATTTCACTAGCTATTTGTTATAACAGGTAAGCCAAAGAACTCATAAATGTCCAGCACAACAGATGGGAAATATGCAACAAGCAAGTGGCATCGATCTCCAGTCAACACAATTATCAAATGCACAAAATTTGAATAATAATTCAAGTAAAATTCAGAAAAATAATATCGAAGAAAATCAATCAGTTTTAAATGTTATAAATGATGAAGAAAACAAGTACGTCCTGATAATAAATACTGAAGGACAACATTTGTTAACAAAGGAACTAAACATTAGTAATGCACAAGTAATTCAAAAAGAACAAAAATTAGATGAATGTATAGGTATGAATGATAAAAATGAGGAAATGAGAAACGTTTGGAAGAATGACATTCCTGATAATTCTATATTAAAAGAACCAGATGAAATATCTATAAAGTTGTACGTAGAAACTGAGAAACCACTTCAAGAAGATACAAATGACTTATTTTCAATGATAATATCCCCATTAGAGAATGGATTATCTTCTCCCACAGCTGAAATGGAACATTTAAGATTATCGTCACCAGCACAAAAAGAAAATGATATAAAATCATATAACAACTTTAGAAATACAATGCACAAAATAAATTCAGATA